TTTTTCTTTCAGATTACCTTTGTCGATCTGATTATCAACAGTAGCTACATTCCTGTCAATCTCCTTGCCCTGCTTGTGAAGCTGTGTGTTTATGAAACATCACTAGAGTGGAATCTCATTGCCAGACCTGTGAGTAGAGTTACAACTGCAGACAAGTGCAGGTGGTCAGCACTGAAAAAGTGTCACTGTTGAGCAGTTTACGTCATTTAAAAGTGGAACAAGAAAGCCATTACAGCAACAAATTGCCCTGAAGTGGGGAGGGCACAACCGAGCAGGGTTTGCAGGAAATTAACCATGTGCTGACAGGCAATTTGTTATAAGCAGTGTGGAAAGGGGTGACTTTTTTTTTTTTTTTTTTTTTTTAAATATGAACTGTTTGAACAACTGTTTTAGTATAAACTGATTTGCAATAACAATACAGGGATTTCTGGAAAGGTGTACATGCGTTTTGGTGTTATTTTCTGTTATTGTCCACTCAGTCTTCTTCAGGTGGTATTAAACCATATATGTGAAATAACAGTTGTGCCTTTAACAAACCCATACTCCTCATAATAGTTTCAGTGGTGACTACAGAGGACTTTTAGCTGGGCTATCCTACAGAAATGGGCCAGAGTTGGCTTGCACTCAAAAATAATAGGAAACAGAATTTTCCGTTTTTGCTTGCATTGCGCTGTGTGATACAGTACACATTTTAGGATGCTGTAATCTAAAAATAGACCCGAGCTTTTTCCAAGAGAGTCAGAAAGTAGTACTGTTGTTAAAATACCTTATAGAGTATAAAGTAAAGGTAAACATTCAAGTAGAGCTCTTTGTACATAAATATTTTCCAGTAGAGTCTAAGGGATTTGTTTCTCAGAATGAAAAAAAAGCCCAAATAAAACCATCAAAATCAAACCAAAACCCAGAGAAACTAACAGTATAATTCTTGCTTCAAATTTTATTTTTTGAGAATATGATAATCCTGATATTTTTCTAGATTTGTTGCCTATTTAAAAGCCAATAAAATCAGGTTTTAAAAGATACTCTGCTACAATAAAGAATCAACAGTTTCTGTGTAGATTTTCAGTTGCTAAATTATTTTATGTCAAAAGCTAGAAAATGAAATGCTTCTAAATATAGTGCGTTGGAATTTTCTTATCAGTTAATTTTTTAGAAGCTCTATACTTAAGAGCACCATAGTAACAGCTCTGCAACCTGATTCTTTGTTACAGCTATCCACTGAGAGCTTCACTGAAGACATTTCCTCTGGGATCAGAATGACTAGAAATCAATTCTGATAATATTAGAACAAATTTAAAGAGCAAAAAGCCCTATAAAGTATGTGATGAATAAATAAGGAGATCTTTATTCCTTGTGTAATCATTTTCACCTCTTTTCTATTTTGTTGCACTGTAAACAAATATTTTTGTGTTACAAATGTTAACACCTTAAAAGGTTTTGTAAAACTGGGGCTGAAATAATTCACTATGAGTTATGCAAGTATTTAAGCTATTATTTGCAAAATAGACTGTGAGAAGGTCAAGGTAATTGATGATATTGAAATATTGATGACATCTTTCTTTGCCAATCATTTATGGTTTGAGTATGTCTGTCTAGAGCACATCAAATGTGTGTTGAGGGCTGAATCTGAATGTCATTTATTTCACCCCCAAGATAAGCCCAAAGGTTATGATATTGAAGGCAGCACATTAAGAACAAATCCAGCTGGAACTCCAAGCCTTGTGATCTACTGAGGAGGGACTCCATTTTACATGATTGATTCCACCTCACTCTGTAGACTCCTGTTCCAACACCACCAAGTCCACCCAAGCATTTTGATTAAACTGACTTTAAACAAGGCTTAAGTTGTCCTATTATATGCTCACAACAATTAAGAAACCTATCATGTGTCACAGACCACCTTGGTGCTCCTGGAGAGGGGCCAACAGAGGTGTCACAGTCTGCACCACCTTGTTGTCAGCTGCAGCTGTCCTTTTACAGTACAAGCAGCATCTGTGGTAGATGAAATAATCTGAACTCCCATGTGCACTTTTCCATTAGGAAACAGCTCACACTGAATAGCATTTTTGGTACTGGGCACTGTTACACCTGAGTGCAATTGGGCTGTAAGAAAAAAATAATTACATGGTTTATAAAAATGAAAGATGGTGAGTCAATGTTTTATAAAACGAAAATGTTGACTCTCCATCTTTTGTGACTTTAAGATGTGTTCTTCCATCCAGCCATGTACACTTAGTCCAGAAGGATGACCAGAAAAGACTTCAAAGTTGTCCGGGGGATGCTCAAGCCGTATGTCTCAGCCTGCTTGCATATGCCTGATCCAGGACACAACATCAGTGGTGGTGTCAGCACATCTGATGCCAGCTCTGCAGAAACAGGGAAAGGATGTTGTCACTTTTCTTACTCTCTCTGAATTTTTCTGTGTTTCACTTTTAACACTATTTTGCCTGAAGGGAGAACAAGGTATGGTCTTGATGAATGCTCTTTGATAATGAGATTGAAGGTGAGGAAACTGGAGCCGTGAGAAGCCCTGCTGGAACAGGGCACTGCTGAGTTGGGATGCGTGGAAAGTGTTCCTTCCCAGCTGTGTGGGGCAGCTTGCTGAAATCCCAGTGCAATTGTTTCTGAAAGGGTAACTGGCTTCAGAGGGAGAACAACTGAGCTCTTTACGTCCCTGCTTGTGAAATCCATGTGTCCTCTCTGACTCTAGGCCAGCTTGATGGGGTAGCTGGGGAGCTGTGAGAGCTGTCTCTGAGGCATCACAGAGCACAAACCCACTCCCCTTTGCCCCAAAATTGTTTTCAGGTTTACTTTGCAAGCCTAAGTGTCACCTGCCAAAACACTCTACAGTCTGCCAAAACAGGTGGCATCTTTTCTGAAGCTTACCTAATTCTGGCATAAAGAAATAAGATTGTATGTGGGGTGTGCAAAGAGTACAGAAGAGCTAGGAAGGAGAAGCAGAAAGGTGTTTTTGGAAGGCAAAAATGAAGAAAAAGGGAATACAGAAAACGTATCCTCAAGGGATGGACAGTTGTTCTGAAAGATGAGAAAATCTTAAAATTACTAAAAGGATTTTAAAATGGGTGTATGCAAAATTTAGAAGCTAGAAATAGGGTAGTTATAGATGCTACATACAATTTTATTTTAATGTTATTTTGTCTTGGTTGAAGCAGTGATGATCTGAATTTTAAACCTTGTTGTAGCTTAGTCTCCTTATAGTCTCCTAAAATGAAAGGGCTATTAATATCTAACATTTTTGTACTGCAGTTAAAGTTATAAGCTATATTTGATGAGCTACTGCCATACTTAAGCAAAATTCACAATGCATAACAACAGTTATACCAGCAGTTCAAGATCACAATGGCCTCTAAATGATGCAACAGTAATACTTTCCAATCTCTAAATATAACATTTCAGGATCTCCTTTTGTTGTCCCTCTCATCTGGACATCTCAAAACACTCAAGTTGTTTTAATAAGGAGTGAGTGAGGATTTGTAACTTTAAAGTAATACAGTGCAGTAAATACTGTCAAGCAAATTTATGGAAATGAGAAAGAAGGAATAATGACAAGATGTGGAATAGCCCAAAGTCATGGTTCTTTGCTGTTAATTTCATTTTTAGACCTTGAAATAAATGAAGGTGTAATACCTCATGTGAGCTCAGAGTGAGGGTTAAGTAATGTTGTTTTGAAACACATCATTATCACATACAGCTAAGTACCCTGTACAATTTTCCAGAATAGTACACAGGGAATTAGTAATTTCTGGGCAGCAAAATTTTACCAGGGGCAGGACTATGTCAGCACTTTCACCACAAAATCATCATTGTTCAGCAGACAGTGAAAATGTTTGAGTCATTTGAGTCCGAGGGAGTGGCGACCATATGAGATGGAAAAAAAGGAAAATATCCAACCATTTTCTTGGTTAGAAGCATTAGCACCAATGAAATTTGCCACTTCAACAAGTCATCCCAAAATTTTAAAAGCCTTGAAAAGAAAACACAGCCTTGGTTATATTGCTACAGACAGGCTATAGAATAGAAAGTTGAGTGCAGTTCTATCATGATGTGAAAACAAGTCACTAGTGGATCATGGTCCATCACAAAAAGCTTTTGGAGCAGATGACCCCATGCACAAGCAGGACAGTATTGAGTGAGGACAGCATGTTTCATCTGGAGCTGAGGCAGCTCTAACCAGGCACTGACTCTTCATATTTAGGTTTGAAGAAATTCTTCTGAAGTTGGACACTGCTAACTGTTGTGGCCCAAGGGCATGACATTGTTTCAGAGACACTGCACCATTGTGGATTGGTTATGTTCTCCCCTGTAGGCAGAATTTAGGGTGGACTGTCTACTCTGAAGTCAGTTCTGAGGCAGATCTCACCTCCAGGAGCAGTGGAAAGTGTTTGTCTCTTTCTGCTTTTTGTTGATCTTTGTGGTCTTGGCCCACATAAAGATACACCAACATATGTGGTTGTCTAAGGTCATCATGACCTGTTGGAAGTAAGAAATTGCAGGATTATGTGGTGAGGCAGTATGGCTGAGCAGTACATTCCTCACCATAGAACAAGGTTGGTCTGAATGCCCAGGAGATAAAATCTACCAAATCCCTTCTAAATAAAGATGTTGAGCTGTGATGGTACTTAACATCGCATACACACAAAAGAAAAAATCCCCATAAACACATATGTCAAGAAGACAAAAATGATACCTGCAATGGGCTGCAGATGAAGCTTCAGATCCTGTATTTCTATTTTTTTTGTTTGAGTTCCATGAACTGAGTATTACCACGTCAAAATGATTAGCTTACTGTCCCCATTTAGCTTTCCAGTGAGGTGTGAATAGTTTAACACTGATGCACAGTCCATTTTCACTGATGTTTCGTCTGCATTTCATCATGCTGGAAGAAATGAGTCTTCAGGCATTTCTGAGGACTGCTGTGAAGAGGATAGAAATGTCTCCTCATCATTTTGTCATGATGTGTTATGGGGTTCCTCTGTCATGCAGTGTCAGCCCAATTTGGAGGAGCCTTGGAGTAAGTATGAAAGAAACAGGCTGTATTCTTGTTGTTCAGAGGTTTCTTCCTGATTCTGGCACAGCCAGAGGTGTGTGAGCCTGAGTGTAGTTTATGTTATGGGTGCACAGAAGCAGTCAAAAAATTTAGGAAAGAAAAACTCTTTTATGATTTTCCTTTTCACATATATTGAAAAATAGGAGACAAATTTTCCTCTCAAACTCTTTTTTCATTGTGTTGGTGTCAATACACAACCCTACAGATGAATATCAGAGGTAACTGTCATTAGCAGATATAATCTGCTTGACAGGACAAACACAACCTACAGACCTTCTTACAGTTAAAAAACTACTGTCCCTGGATGCCTGACTTAAGTGTCTTGGGGAAGAATTTTACACATATACACTGTGATCAGGCTTGGATTGTAACACCACGTCTTGTTTGTACCACGTGAGATGGCCTTTTGCCTTAAGTTCTTTGTCAGAGTGAATGGTGCTATTAAGTGACACTAGCTCTCTGCCAAGCAAGCACCTTAAATTTAGTTTTATCTGAAGTTTTTTAACTTAGTTTTATATTTGACTATAGCTTAATTTAGAGGAAAAACAAAATGGTCAGCCTGCATTCTTTAAACAAGCCAATGTGCTCATGCAGTGCTGTCTCTGTTCTCTTTAACACAAAGCTTGCCTTCATCTCAGACCATACAAGTACAACATAACTGTCATAGGTGATTCTACCCTGGTTCTGAAAAGCTGTGCTAGAATGAGACACTCACTCACAGAAGAGGGTATTAAAGAAGGGTATTGCAAAACTTCAGACTATTGTAAGCCTTGAGTATATCACAAGTTCCCATAGTAAATCTACTGCAATGGGACAGTAATTATCACTGTGTACCTCTTCACTGATTACCATTGCTTTTTACATGAGAAAATACACATGTGATTGGGCTGCAAATGTACATTACTCAAAAGTCTTGCAGTCCTTGCTTAATCCAGTTAGAGGGACTTGGGTACTGCATGTGTCTGCTGGCCCCCAGCAGAGCTCCTGGCAGGTGATGTGGCTCTGTTTTCCCTAAAGAATTCCACAGAAACATGTGCTGTGTAACATAATACTGCACTGTTCCCTCTCCAAGTCTACAAATTACTATTGTGAGGAAAAAAAGTTGCTATTATTATAGTTTATTGCTACTTAATTTGTTAGTTACTGATTAAAAAACTTATTAACTGGATTAAAAGGGGAGACATACTATTCCAATGGAAATCAGGACTGGTCTGATAAATGAAGCCACTTGCCCATTCCCACCTTGTGTGTATAACCTCATATGCATCTCTCTTAAAATTACAGAGATTTCAGGAGCTCTGGTGTGTATTCAAAGCCACTCAAGGCTAGCCTGAGAGTGAGACTTGAATCTAGCAGGAATGGAAATCTTTAACTATTGCTTAGGTCATGGAAAAAGATCAAGCTTGCAGCTCTCAGATATCTGCCCCTGTGTGCACAACAACTGCATACCTCCTAAGCCTCCGTCCCCTCCCCCTGCCCCAAGCTACAGCAGTGCAGGCAGTTCCCAGACCTTGATTCCTGATATGCCAACATATGTTGGCAGAGCTTCACTTTGCACAAATTTAAATTTCTCTTGGGAACAGGTTTCACTGGTCTGAGAAAGTAACAGACTGTTCTCTACTTCCATCTTCTAGATCTGAATATATACCACTCCTGTATCCTGTGCATTGGCTCTGACATTGTATGTATGTGTCTCTGTGTGTGTGTATGTATATATATATATATATACGAGATGGAGATTAATTTCAGAGCTACCCTTTGTCCAAATGCCCATACATTTATAAGGTCATGTTTGACTTCAAGCTTTGGAACAAGAATGATAAAAATAATAAAAGCAGCAAATGTTTTCATCTGAATATTTGTGTCTGAGACTTGGGGAAGTCCAGTGGCGTGTTAGAGTTTTGCTTTCCCAAGTTTGTAAAACTGTGCTTCGTATGTACATTAACAGGAAGTAAAATATGTTCAATATTTTAAAATGAAACAGCATGAGATTTGGTACCTTATACTGTACCTGGTCAGAACTTACTTCTAGTTGATCCTGCCCTTACCCTAAGACCAGCCCTTACACGGCTGGTGTAAGGAAGAGTATGTAAAGGTTAAGTGGCAACTTTTAGCCAGGAATGCCCTCCTCTCCTCAGCTGTCAGTGTTTTGTCATGGTCAATCTTCCTAGACCTTTCATATCTTTAAAGTATATTTAGGAAGTATTTCATTAAAATGCTGCTATTTCTTAGTGGTAATTTGCTTGCAAAAGGAATTTAAGAATAATTGGATTTGGTTTTACTGCTTCTGGAGACTCTACCTAAAGGCAGTGGACCTGTATTTCCACATACTTTGGCATCACTTTATTCAAGATCAAGTCAGTAACACAATAATGATGCAGTTTAATAGGTAGCTGGAAAAGGAGAGGCGGGTTAGAGCACAGTTTTATTTAGAAAATACCCCTGTGCACTGTGGCAATGTTTTATAGCATGATGTGAAGCTAAAGTCCACAACCATGTCTTGTAGTCATAGAAGAAGAAGGTAGGTTATAAAAGGGAGGGCTACAATGAGGAAGAAATGCAGTGTCACTTGCTCCTGGAAAATTTACAGCTGCCTCAAATGAAATGTTCAGTTATGCCAATGGAGTTAGTTTTTGAAAAATGTAAATTAAGTGACTTCATAAACATGAGTAGTTAAAAGAAGGCATAAACAAAAGTCTTATTCCAGTTTCAAAGGTCTTGTGGTCAGGCACATATCAGTCAGCACTTAAAAAGTGATTAAGTAGGGTAGTAGGGTAAGAGACTATTTTGAAACCAGGCCCTGATGAGCAGCTCCCATGTCCTGCCAGCATTTTACTTAGGCTGTATGAGATTAGCTGGTGCAATGCCTCCTGCTTACTCTTGTGCTTTAAGGACATGAAGGAAAGTGGGGGCAAGGGAAAACACTGTCAGATAAAATCTTTCAGAATTGGAGCTGAGAGAGGAAGTGTACTCTGTGTGCCACTTCGCCTCAATTCTGCATAGCCATCAGCTGAACTAATCAACACCTCTGTGCACTCAGAGCTCAATTACGTACAGTGAGTGTTTGTACTGGACCACTGCACAGACCTTTGTGGAAAGCTTTTCTTTTTTTTCCCTGTTTTTGTTTTGTTATTGTTGTTGTTATTGTGTTTTTTCCCCCCAGTTTTTTGGGAGGGGATTTTGTTGTTGGTTTTAGGTTTGTTTATTTAGGTTTTTTGGGTTTGTTTTTTAATTTTAACCATTAATTTCTCCAACATTTTTTTAGAACTAGCATGGCAACAAAGAGTTGTTTGTTTAGATCCTGTTGAGCAACTAGCAACCAAATGTGTCCCCAAAAGGGTTATATATCCATTCCTCTTGCTTTACCTTTTTCTTAAGGGTCTGTAAAACATTGACATTTGCAAAGTTAACTTAAGACTGTTATTAAAAGGGAAGAGCTATATTGTCAACCTCATGATCCTTGGAATCTGATTACAATTTCCTGATTCAAGTTCATTATTGGGAATAGTTTCATTGATTGCAGTGGGTCTGAGTTTGTCACAACTGTTCAGACTTCACAAGCATATTTGAATCTGGCCCATAATGATTCCACTTTTTCTATAGATAAGCATGGTAGTGAGACCTTGTGTACTTTTAGCTTTGCCAAGCATTTCAAGCATCCTTGGATATACAGTCAAAAAACTCTTCAGGCATTTTTTGTTACAGCATCCTTTTCCCCCCACAGAGAAATTGGAGTGTTGCAATACAACTTCCCTCCTCTCCTCCCCCCCCAAATAAATAGATATAGTTTATATCTTCCGGCAAGAATAAGAAAGCAAAAATAAAAAGGTTCCTCACGACTCTTAGCGAGATGAATCTTCCAGGGTTTGATCCCTTGGCAGAGCTCTGCAGTTTGGCTTTCTCGCTTCTCTTACAATTGTGTTGTATGTCTCATTTTCTTCGATTTCATTGAACTATTTATGTTTATCTGCTAGCTTTTGTCTCAGTTGCCAGTTCCTTTTCCTTTTCAAGATAATTCATCTATTTTACTATTAGGTACCCTCTTTTCTGCGTATCTTGCCTGTCTTATTTCCTTAGGACGAGACCCTGTGCAACATACCTGTGCCAGTTGGTCTGCCTTTTTTGTATCTCTCTTTCCTAATTTCCATTTTAATTTTGTTACTCCTTGCTGCTAATTCTGTTTTTTGGAAAGGTGTACTCCCCCAAGTGAAGCTCTCTCTTTTTAGTTTTTTTTTGCATTTGGTTAGTTGGTTGGTTAAATTTTTTGTTTTGTTTTGTTTTGTTTTTTTAATCTTTTATTAATATTTCAATTATTTTCATTTACTTTGGAGATTCCATAACAAATATGAACATTTGATTTCATTAGACATTTCAGAATTCAACTCAAAATCAAATATATCTTCTTATCTTCCTTGTGGTTTAGAGGACGCTTACTGATTTTTTAATGAAAATAGAAATGGGAACAATATCTCTCATTGTATTTTCTTCAGCAATGTGAGAAAACTATTTTCACTTAAAGGTTTTTGTCACAGCAAAAGGAATTTTGGACCAAAACAGAGAATTTGCTGTGTTTTGCTAGTAGCTAAGTTAGGACACAACTTCTTAATGTTATATTGAAGACCTCTGGGGAAATACTGATATATTTGTATAGTGAGTCCTTCTGAGCTCACCACTCTTTCCTCTGAATTGGTTTATTGACCTCTTGTTGACTGAATAGAAGCAGTGTTGGGTCCACTAGGTATGATCCGCAAACTAATTTTCAATAACAGGACATATAAAATTTAAAAAAAACCTGCAGGAGTTCATACCTGCAAGAACCTGTGCTGCTGGCCTATGAACTGGGGCTGCTTTGTAAATCTTGGAACTGCTTGATTCCCAGTCCAACTGATTGTGGAGTGGGGATGGAACAGATAGTCAAGGACACTAATCTTATCAACCTTCTCGATTTAAGTTGTTCCTGCTCATTGTAACTTAGCTCCTAGGGGAAAACAAAAATAAAATCTCAGTTAGTAACAACAGTACCTATCCAAGGAAGTGCAAGTAATTTAGTGGTGGGCTGATTTTGCAGATTAGAACCTGGATTTTTAGGACTAATTAATTTTATGTTCTTCAAAGGGCATTACAAATGTTATTCAGTTTAGTATACATTGTTGTAAAAGACATATATATATATACTGGATTTAATAGAGTCCAGTGGAAATGGTTAATATATATTTATTTTACTTACTGCAAATTAAAAGGAGCATCCTAACTTAAACTCTAATTTGGTGTTCTACCAATTCAAGCAAAAATGAATTAAGCATATTAAAAATGAACACGGTTCTTATTTTTCTTGGTTGTATGACCCTCTTTCTCACTACATACATCCGTTAGCAAAGTCTGCTTTCAGCAGTGGAAATTTCATTATCACTTCTAATTCAGGTTTTGTAGAACATTAAAGTTTCCAACAGTTAATGACTCTGGTTTCTTTCTTTGCAGATTTACTTTTCATGAAAGAATATAGAAGAGGAAAGAAATCACAGTAAGGCTGAATTATGAACTCCCAGAAATGGAGGACAAGAACTTATTGTATTCTGGAAGCTGAATTTATTGCTCTTGACTAGTGCTGGGCAATGGTGATCGCATGCATGGTATTGCTGAAGCAGATGTAGCTCGCGTATTACACATTCCAGTTTTTCATTCAATATTTAAAGAGTGACACAAATACCACTGTAAAAGTCTTTCAGTTGCTTGAAAAGTGGTGTCAGGAGTTCCTCACCTTAACCAAAGCTCCTTTCTACCCTTGGATTGAGATTGTCATCCTCCAGACTTCTTCACCAATACTGGACTTTCTTCTCAGCTCTGACCTGTGCACTCGTGCCCCTGAGATGAGGTCTCATCAGTGCTGTCACCATGCCCCTATGATGTCCATGCCATTGTCACCCTTACATCTGATGGTTAATGAAGCCAAAACACCTCAGTTACTTTTCAGGGACTCACCTGAGACACTTAGCATCTCTCCAACAGTGATCCCGCTGTGGGACAACTGCAATCATATCTCATAGAGGTGTCACAGCTCTTAATTACATCTTCTGCAAAGTGCTTGAAGAATCCCTGACAAATGTGATTTCAGTATGCAAAATACTGCAGCAAAATAAACTAATCTAGATAGCAGAGGTCAGTCCTGTCTGTCTACATTAACCTAATAGCCTGTGCTTTTCCTCTTTCCTTCACCATTTGCCAAAACAGATATGGTTTGTTTTTCCTTTGATCCCATGGAGTTGACAGTGACAGATTACTTGCAGTTTGTCATCTTGAACCTTCCCACTTTCCTGGTGATTTGACCCATGACATGAGGGAGATCTGTAATCACAGACAGATGCCTCCCTGAGCAATGTCTAGATACTGTGAAAGCTTATTACTCTAAAGAATCTTATTTTCTCATCAGAGTTTCAGGCTATTTTGAATATGGTTTTGAAATAAGACAATCTCCAATGGTGGGGCCCCTGCGTAAAATAAACTCTATTTCTGTGATATTTTCTCATGAAAATAACAATAGTTCTGTGTTTAATCTTCAAAAAAAATGGGAAAACTGCTGAAAATGTCTTTTGTCAGGACTTGCTCAGGATCCAGCAATGTGCTTTGTGTACACCAGACGCACTAAGCACATAACCAAGACTGAGGGTAACAACACACTCAACAACTGTCAAAATCAGTCAGCCCTGTTATTCTCCACATCCCAAAGCTCTTAGAATAGCATTCTACTTTACAGTAGCATAAAACCAAATTATATCTGATAGAGATATAGGAGGTGCAACATCAAAATGAATTGAACAAATGGGTATCCTGTCCCACGCCCTTCTCAAAGCACTGCCAGCTTGAGGATCAAAGGAGAAGGTTCAGGGATTTTTCCAACTACATTTCTAAAACCTCTGAGGCTGAATACCAATTATACTCCCTGGGCTACCCTCTCCAGTGCCCGATATCCTCATGTGAAGCAAGTCTCTACCGACACCCGATCTGAACACCACCTACTATGTCTTGTCCTCCTGCCATGTACTATTGTGGAGGACCCATCTCCATTTCCTGGACATGCCCCTGGGCACAGTGGTTGCTCTCATTTGGTGAGGTCTCCAAACTTCATAGGAGAGCTCTTCAGCAGTTTTTTCAGGACACCAATAAACATGGTAAACAGGACAAGTCCCACAAATATTTGAACTAGCAGTCACCATTGATACTAGTGACAGTGTTAGTACACCATGGTATTTGCTTTAAAGAGTAAAAGCAAACTCTAAGACCTCAAGAGATTGTCAAACTCAAGATCTTACAAAGAAAAAAATACTGATGTGCATGAGACGTGAAGTGAGTCTGTTTAGGAGACAGTCCATCCACTGAGATTAGCAGCTGCACCTGCTTTCTTAGGCTTGATATCTGTCTGGTATCCAACAATATTCATTATCCAGCCTAAAGTCTTCTTATCTTTTGTAGCTCTTGAAATCTATCTATTTCAGTTAGATCTTGATGACTGCCTAACATATATGATTAAAAGTAAGGTTCTGAAATTTGACGTTTTTTTCAGCAGTTTCATGTAAGAAATGATAACTAATTAATGGTATCACATCTTAAAGAGTTCTCCAAACTCCTTCAGCAAATGTATGAATAGAGAAATTAGGGTTCTTACAAGCTAATCATCAAACCTGTAATAAAGACTCTTTTGATTATGTTATTTATTGAGATCTTGAGGACAATGTCAGCAGCTTATTCTATGGTACAGACTTCTATAGGAATATTATCAGCCATAAATGGTACTAAGTTCCTGCACCCGAGCTCATTGATACTGATATTTGAAGGCCTTCAGGGAAAGACATGAGAAAGAGTATTTAACACAGACTTGAATATGCTTTGTCTTGTTTTGCTTTGGTAAACCCAGCCCTCACATCACCAGATTGTTTACATAGCCCCAGGGGTCAGTTTGTTTAGTGCACTGGTTGTCTGAACAAGAGTAATTTTTTTTGTTGCTCTCAGTTGAACTTTGCAAATCAGCTAAAAAACAGAGATGCTGTATAAATCATAAGATGATGTCAGCAAGTTCGAGTTAATGCTTTTCTTTAAGCAAAGTAACATGTTCTGTTTTCAATACTTTAAAATGTATAACAAGTAAAAAATCTTGTAATATACAGGAAATTATTTAGATATAGGAACTGTCCAACTTCTGCAGTGGAAAACCTACTAGCACACAATAGAACTTGCCTTTCTTGAATAAATATCCTCTTATACAATAACCAAAGTACTCTCTATCTTGACCAAGGAACACATGCATAACAATTTCTGTTAAAAGTTACACATTGTTGCACTTATTTTGGAGGAACATTTTGGAAATTTTCCTGTTAAACTCTGTCACTTCTTAAACAAAGAACTCACACATTCCCAAAGGAATAGCTTTGTGTGTGTCATCCTACAACTGTGTAGAACCAATTTAATTCTGTCATGTCTCTATGCAATAAATTTACTCCTGGGAGGATGCATTCCCTCCACTGGTGCAGAATAATCTGTGCTTCTGCAGTTCTGCTACTACTGCAGATCTGCTCCAACTGGGCTATCAGGGCATCCAGAAATTGTTGAAAAAAGATGAATATTTCTCAGCATTTGGGAGAGTGAATGAAATTAAAGGTAAAGAAAATTAGATGACATAATACAGCAACCATAGACTGACTCTTACTATTGCTATTGGCAAATACCTAACCTGCACATCCACCTTTTAAATATGTTCAAACCATTGTGAGGTAACTTAATAACTTCCAGCAACTGGAGTAAAGTTCTTTATTATAAAATATACAACCTTCATATCTGATTTTTGTGCTTTTTTGGTATTTTTAGAAAATAGTGCAGTGAATGGACTTGTTAGAGGAAAAGTTACAGTTTACAAAACTGTATATATATGCCTGAATATATCTGTCAAAGAGCAGCTAGTTCTTACCCTTTATCAGAATTATAGTGATATAATTAACTGAATCATAGTCTTTACTAATAAAATTATAAATTATAATAAATTTAAATTATTATAATTACAAATATTATTAAATTATATAAAAATTAAAAATATAAAATTATATATTAAATGAGTGACTGGTTCTACTTAAAGAATACAGCTTCTAGATGGTCCCACAGAATAAAACTAAAGATTCTTTATTCTCCAGAGGCTGTAAAGACCCATCCTGCCTGCAAGAATACACACCACCACACTCCACATGGAAGAAATACTTAAGTGACTTTTTCAAAAACAAATACATACATGCAGCTTTTTTTTTTTTTTTTGGTAGGTCAGTTAATGCTGACCCTTCAAAGGTTAAACCCCTTTCCGTTGCTTTCCATTAATTTGCTTTTCTATTACTGCATGCTGCACATGAGAGGTGGAGCTCCCTTTTTAACTTCAGAGATCAGCACGATAGGAGGGCAGTGGATATCAAACAAACCTTCAAGAATGCAAAGGCAGTAAGGCACCCACAAAACTAGCACTTGGATCCAAAACTAGATGGGTGGCCAACTTTATCCCAGACAGTACATCAACAGCATAACCACAAGTCAGACCAGCTCCAAAGTTGCTCATGCTGTCCTCTGGCATTCACCAAGAAGCCAGACATTTCTGCCCATGGAATTTCTTCCATAGGGATTTCCTTTAAAGAGGGACAGGGAAGTCAGTCTCCTAAAGAGGATGCATGTATATGCTACCTAATGAAAGATTTATTAAAAAAAAAGGTAAATCAAACCTTTGTTGTTGATTGTACAAGCACAGGGAAATAAAAATTGGACTTCTGCCTCATTTCACATCAGTCCAAATTTTCCTAGTCTTAAGGAGAAAAAAAATTAATGAGAAAAAATGTTCATAACAGTTTGTTTTTGAAATGAATTCACTCAGGTGAGCTTCTGTTCATATGCTCATTTGTCTGCCACTATAAGTACCCAAAACATGACTTTTCTAAGCTTGTTTCCTGCACTTGAACAACTGTTCGTTGTTCTTAATTTCATACTGCTGGTTTAAGACTGAGGATCCAGATACTTTTTGTGATCAATGGGCTATATTATGTTTGTTTTGAAGACACATACTCACAAGCTAACCAAGAAAAGAACAGTCCCAGTCTCAAAGTTCTTTCAAAGAAAAAACATGGACACACTGTTATCTCAAAGTGAACAGTGTGTCCATTTTCACTTAATGCAAACTTTAACATCAGTTGTTTGATTAAATCAATTTAGACTCCAAAGATAATTTAGTCATTGAAGATTGTCTTAAACAGGTAACCAAAGGCAGCTGCTGTAAGTTAGGTGAATCCATTCATCTGTAAACATGCATGGAAAAGATCAAAGGTCTTCATGACACAGTTTGGGTTCAACCCCTCTTTTAGCTTTTCAGCTATTGCCTGACTTCAGGATGTGATTAAAAGTGTATTCTAGTAGAAAAATCAGAAAATCCCAAACTAAATATATTTACTCTCTTCACCTTCACTTTTAGCTTTCCTGCTTACTTATGCTTTTGTCTCCTAAAGATAAATGACTGGTTTTATAATAAAAAAAAAAAGGTGATTTCCAGCTCTTGATCAAATTTCTTGTTAACAGAATTTTGATGATAAGATACACAAAGGAACTTGTACAATGTGTGGTTTTAAGGAAATAGCACACACACAAAAAATTATAATAACCAATATATTCTATTGTGTGTGTTTAAGGTGTGCAGGTAGTTTCTTTAGGATGAACTATCTGGAGGAACACTGAGTAGAAAGATGTTGATAAAACTACAAGAACTTGTACCAATAGTTCTGACCTAAATTCTGCAGAATAGATGAGGGCAGGAGTACCTCACACTTTTCTGTAATTAGCTTTCAATAAACTGTGCAGGAAAATCTTTGATTTACATGTGCCTGCATTTTCCAATCAGCTAAGCTATGTGTTAATGCTGTTGCAGAATATGTCTTCTCCTTACCAACTAGAACATGGTAGGCATTAACTTTTTCCACAGCACAAAGTGAAATTCTATGTAATCCCTATGGTTATGGCTCCTGTTCCTTCTAATTTAATTTACAACACTGGGAATTTGTTATACAACAAGAAACACATTTTAAGAATTGTCACATTTTGTAATTCCTTTTTGTGTTTGGTGCGTCACAAGCATTGTGGCTCTGGTTCAAGCCAACTGCAGACTGGAGAATGAAATATAATCTAAAAATACCATAAAAATGGAAATTTTTAACATTAATCTTGTGTAAGGTTTTTACATTCTCTAGTGAAGCTAGATGAACCTGAAAGAGACTCTGAAAACTGAGGAGCTTTGCAGCTCTTTGTAGTTCCTTTAATCCACCCAGGCTGTACCTGTGGGTTCCATTCTTTAAAAGGATGTTTGCAGGAAGACCTTGCTCCATTCCAGGACCTATCAAAAAGCCTGCAGGAGCTTTTGTGACAGGGTGGCTCTGTATTGAAGGAAAGGACTCAGGCATTAGTGCCACCAAGGAGGATGAGGGCAAGAATGGCTCTGTAGATAAAGGCGACGGTTTAAAGTTTGGGCAATCTGGGTTGTAGTTTCTCTCCTGCTGCTGGTTTCTGGTAAAGCCCTGGGCATATCTCTTACTCTGTGTTGCAGGTGGTTGACCACGTAATGAGGAGAAAAGCTTTGAAGAGAACAACAGCAAGCATATTTGCAAAAGAATAAGAAGGAAGGAAGAATGTGTGGGATAAGTCTATCTCATGTTAGATAACAGGGTTCCCAAAGGGATTTGATCGCTTTTGTTTTACACAGATACATCAGGAAAATGAGGCAGCTCCTTTTCAGGACACCCATCAGCTTGTGAGAAGCCAAGATCTTGTAGGACATGCTGTGCAATTGGTGACTGGAGCCTGTGTTCCTGTGTCATGTCTGTGAAGTGGGAGAACCAATGGGACCGTCTCTCCCTCCCCTTTCAATTACGCAAAATGCTGTAATTTACACAGGTTGTATGTCAGAGCTGAATAGGGGCATAGCAAGTTTGCAAATATGCATTAACAAATAATCATACTGCCAAAATAATTTGTATTTGTAACACATCTAATGCTCTTAAGCATTGCTGTGGGTGAACCTGAAAGACAGAAGTAGTATTTTTATGCTAATATGTTATAAAATGTCTCAGCAAAATAAGCAAGTCCTTCTGCAGTGGGTGTTTATTTTCCTTGACATGATTTAGAAGATTCTCATGTGACAATCTTTTGTGTTGCATTTGTAAAACGATCTCTATGAGAATAGTACACTATTATAATACATTACAATCTGAAGTTGCTTGAGCAGCAGAAAGCCACTAATATAGTACTTCACAATAGAGCACTTAAACAGTTTAGAGTGCAGCTTTCATGTACAGTATTTTAAAGAACTGCTACAAGCCATGTTTGCAGTGCTTTTTGGAAAGCAGGGTAATATCAAGGAGAAAGCTCCTTACCAGTGAGCTTCCTGTCACTAAACGATCATGTTGCTCTTCCAGCAAATCCAGGTGGGAACATTTTCAAGGAAATGTCGAATATTTCTCCTTTTGCCCAGAAACAGCATAGCTATTTTTAGGGATATTTTCCATTGGCCTGCAGCACATTTCAGTTGCTGTAGCATGATGGAGAGTGGCATATTGTATGTTACACCGAATTGAGAAAATGACTATGTTGCATCATGTCTGTATTTGGCACTGAAGGATGCTGAGATGTTCATATTTCCTCATACTTGTGCCAATTTTTATGCAACACAGTTCTCTCATAAATAAAATGTAGGGTATTGGATCTATCCTGCACTCATTTAACCTTCTGACACCTTGACAGCATTTGACTTCTTTGTGGGAGACTGGAATCAGTACGACTGTGCCTCAGTCCTAATCTGTTTATGGTACTCAAATATAAGATATTTTTAGTACTGTACAAAGAGCTGCTTATGTAGCATATACTTTGCAAGCTGTATCTATGTTGAAATGTGAGGCTCAAAAATATAAATGCTCACAAATTATCCAGCATTTTCAGATAATTTTCTAATTAAAACCCCTTGAATGGAAATCATCAGGTATGCACCCCAAAATACTCATCAGACTCTCAGGGGAAACAGGTTGTCCAGTGGGGGAATACAGTTCCATGTTCAGGAGGTGCCTTTGACCTGAAAAGCATCACAACTCTGTGGGGAGATCTGCACCGATTTCCCTTCATCCCCTTCCCTCTCTTTCTGGGACATGATTAGATTCTGTTTCCTCTATTCAACTTGAGAGTAGATGGGCAGATGAGCTCCTGGTTAAGCCAGAAGGAGGGCAACAGAATACTGCAAAATTTCTTGTTGCTGTTTTCCTCCTAAAATCTTGTATGAAACTTGATGGGAAAAACAAACAAACAAACAAACAAAAAGCTCTTAGGCACTCTGTTTTAATCTATGTAACTTACATAACTAGTGTAACTTTAAGTCAACTTTAAAGTCAACTTTAAGTCAACACTGACTGGAGATAATTAAACAACTGTCTTTGAAGATACAGAAACTGCAGTGATTTTCTAGATCTGATGTTTGACCAAGAAGACACTGCACTCAGCAGTAACTTCTTTTGCACTTCTTAATGCAAGACACCAGGATGAGTTTGCGCAGGGATTGCATTACTATTAACCCTAAACACTGACACTGACAGACATCATGAGATAATTTTGTAACTCTGTCATTAGAAAAATGAGATTTTAGTTTTCAAGTCTGCAGTTGTTTTGACCTCTAGGTATGTGCATCTTTATTCCCTCAGAAAATGGCACAACTTTTACCTGCAGATCTCAGCAATAACCAAGAAAAGACTTTCTAATTTAAATTGAAAAGATCAGCTAAGTCTGTTTGGCAAGTTGAATGACATATTAAAGTCACTTTTGATTTAGTCATTTTAGGAGATCTGTTCCAGTCACAATTGTTTTCTTTAGCTCTTGAAAATGAGTTGAGGATGCACTTTGGTGCATTTGTACCTCATTTATCTAAAACAGCAAAAAAAAATATTTCCAAAAGTTCTTCTAAACTATTCTTCAAGGATTTTTTTTTTAATATTAAATAAAAGAGTGCATTAAGGCACTTGAAGGATAATGTTTTAAATGCTTCTAAGAAACAGTTGTTTTAGGACAAACTGAGGCCCTTTCCACAGAAAGTTCAGTGCATGCCAGTGAGGACTTTTCCAACAACTCCAGGTTAGGATTTGAGTCAGGATAAAATATCAGAGTATTGATATTTAATTCTCTAGTCTCAGCTGGTGGTG